TTTGCCTCTGGGTGGCACCTATGTAGCTTGGTGAACAGCGTCCACCCTCCGAGTCTTATTCTGCATCCTGACGACACACAAAAAAACTGTTCAATGGACCTGGCCCTTCACAAGTGGGCGAGCTCTAAGGAATAAAAATTCATCTTACTCAAGCTGCTGGCCTTAGATCAGTCAAATGATACCTTGAGTGTACATTTACTAAAAAATCTGTCCTGCGATTATCTTTTTCGACATCCTGACGAAATATCAAAACTACCCCCGTTTTGTATGACCCTTGACATTAAGATGTAGAAAAGGTGCCAGAACATCTGTATCTTTGGAGTAATGACTGCAGACAGACGAGTGACAAACGAAGTTAGAAGACCTCAGCGAGAAAAAAAGTGATTCAGGCTCTGGAAAGACAAAGATGTTGGCAATAAAACGAAGCTGCGGGATGTAGATGGCTTGCATTCTGAATATCTTACTCTCTGGCTTGGAAATGGCAGTACTGCAGTACTTAACAAATCTGAGAACAGAAAACTGGAAGCGACGGCAATGATTTTAAGATTACTACTAGGTATGAAGCGGCATAATCTGATGTCAACGGCCAACGTAAGAGCGAGATTAGGAATATCCCACTAAAGTGACAGGCTGCCATCAGGACATTTCTTGCTGTGGGTTATTGCCAACGAATCATCCGTAGCCGCCTTGCGAAGCGAACACTAAACACAAAGCCTGACGGCAGATAGCAGCCGGGAAGACCTCGAATAAGATGAAATCTTTCACTGACAAGACATCGAAAGGACTGCGCTGAAGAATTAGCATGCATTTATTCGATTCAGGAGGAATGCTTGCACGGCAATCGACGTCGCCTTGAATGCAATGCAGGTTTATTCTCTCGATCTGGTGAAGAAACGGTTCACGTCGGTCTCGATCTGCGAACCGACTGAGCATCTTTACGCAAGTAACTCTTCGAAAGAATCTCATCTCCAAAGCTTGTAACTGAGATCACACTTTCGGTCAATCTGTAGCACTCACTATCAAAGTGAAGGCAGGTGCGCGTACAGACTTAAAGAGTAGTGGCTTTTCATTACTGAAAAGCCCCTTCTGCTGTATCACCAGAGAGCCAGTTTGGCTCAAATATTACAACCTTTGTGACCGATTCGTGTTTTTATTTCCACGCGATGCATGCGATCATTCATGAGTGCGCTACTTCGGAGTACGTAAACCATGCTAGATGGCTCAGTTGCACTTCATTCATATACAGAATACACTGAGTGCTTTCTCTCGAGAGCATAAAAACATCGGTTTTGATTTAATCTGCTCTTCAGCTTGATCATACCGCGCGCAGCTGCAGACCTTTCAAGGATATGAAAGAAAGCGAATACGACTAAAAGATGCAGCAGACTTAGTTGAACATTAACTGCAATAATTTCCTAGCGAAGCAATATTTGCAACATGCGAAGATAACATGCATCTTGAAATGCATAGTCTTCCAGTCAATATTCTGGACGCAGGTCTCTGACAAGTCGTGAGCATATTAGATGATCTCTGTGACTGGCCATCCCGTTTTCCGTAGCACTCACCATAATTTTGACCGATGCACTCTTTCGCAAGCCGATATCCAGATATATGAAGTAGGAATAAAACTTCTTAGCA